TTCTTTCTTTCTTTCTTTCTTTCTTTCTTTCCTTTTCTTTTCTTTTCCAGTTGTCCTGCACCTTCGTTCCATCAGCCTTTATATAGCCAGCCATGTGCCAAACAACAGGCTGTGTCCTGGGCATCCACAGAGGAGCAAGACGCAGTCCAGTCTCAGCAAAGCCAGGCAGAAAAGCAGGATTTCCTGAGAAGTTCTGAGTCTCACTTGCTAGCGGGCCAGGAGAGAGGCTGCTGTTGCCCCAGCCCACATACTCTGCTCCTTGCTTGAGTGCAGGGAGATGCTGCCCCTTGCCATCCAGGCAGGAAAACAAATGTTCCAGTACCGCAACTCCCGTTGTCCTTACAGTCAGCGTCACAGTCACTCAACTATCTTGATGTGGGTTTATGTTTCCCCCAACATGATCACCTTTTTAAAAGTAGGAATAAAAAAATCTACATTATGAGCTTAGTAGCTGTGTGATCTTAGTTTCTCTGATTTTTAGTTTTTCTTTAATTCTAAGAAAGGAAGAAAGAAAAGACAAAAGGAAGGAAAGAAGGAAGGAAGGAGATAAGGAGGAAGGGAGGGAAGGAAGGAAAGAAAGAAGGAGGGGGGAAGGGAAAGGAAGGGAAGAGAAGGAGGGAGGGAGGGAGGGAAAGATAAGGAGAGAGAAAAAAACGTGCCTTGCTTACTTCACAGAGCTATTATAGGATCGAATAAAGCTATACTGTGGCACAAGAGGACTATTATGTAAATGTGAGGGCTTTAGTATATTCTCAACATGGAATTTGAGACTCTGAGTAATGCTGCCTCACTCATCTTTACCCCTGCACACGTGCTCACATACGTGCTCCCTTGCTTCCATCTGTAACCACACAGCCATGCCTTGCAATTGCCCTGAACTCACCTGCCTTCTTGCCTTTCCTTACACTCTTTCCGCTGCTTGGAATACTCTCTCTCCATCTCTGTCTGTTGACGTGCTACCTTGCTCAAATGCCACCTCCTTTATTCTAAAATAGTATCCCTTTTCTCTTTTTACCATTAAATGTTGTATATTTCTCATAAAATCACACTTAACACTGGGACTAGAGCTAGTTGTCATCTATATCTTAGGCTTCTCTCCTGAGGTATGCCTTGCGTATATCAGGTGTTTAATAAGGTTTTTTGAATCAAATTCTGCTTCCCTTCTCTATGCTCTTCCCTGTCTGCCTCCCACACCCTACACCTACTTAATATATCACTTGGCACATGGCAGGCACCCAGTACATGTGTCCAGGCAGCTCTAGGGCCAGCAAATTCAATGGACAATCTCCATAGGCCAAGGAGAGTTAAGCCTTTCCCCTCAGTTAAGTCAAACATCACAGGGAGTGTATAAACGTTAGTAAACAAAGTGATCATACCCCATTGAGTGGGAAGGAAGAGAACATTTCCCAAAGTGCAGACTGCAGATCAGTGGGCATACCCAGATGATTTTAGGTGACATATAGGTGAACTTTCTTTTTCTAAATTACCTACTTTACATATATTAAAAAGAAATATAATTAGCACATCGAACTTGTGCTTTCATGGATATTCTTTAATAAAAGCTCCTGAATTTGAATAAAAATGATTTAAAGGAAAACATACATAAATAACGGTATAGAGTATGGCCAAATGGTGTGATGGGGGTGCTCCGAGTTCCAGAAGCACCAGGACAGGGAAACAGTCCTGGAAGTTATAGAGGTGGAGAAAGGGATAAAGCCATGCTTGTTCCATGTTCCATGGCTCAGATCTTTTTTTTTCTTTTTTTTAGCTTAAGAGTTTTATTTATTAATATAAGCATTTATAGATCTGTTAATAATATTACCCATTTTAAAGTCAATTTTATTTTTTTTATTTTGTTAATTTGGAATTTTCATTTTATTTTTTTAATTGCATTTTAGGTTTTGGGGTACATGTAAAGAACATGCCAGATTGTTGCATAGGTACACACATGGCAGTGTGATTTGCTGCCTTCCTCACCTATATCTGGCATTTCTCCCCATGCTATCTCTTCCCACCTCCCCACCCCCCATACCTCCCCCATTTCCCCCCAACAGACCCCAGTGTGTAGTGCTCCCCTCCCTGTGTCCATATGTTCCCATTGTTCAATACCCGCCTATGAGTGAGAACATGCGGTGTTTGATTTTCTGCTCTTGTGTCAGCTTGCTGAGAATGATGGTTTCCAGGTTCATCCATGTCCCTACAAAGGACACGAACTTATCATTTTTGATGGCTGCATAATATTCCATGGTGTAAGTTAGTTCAACCATTGTGGAAGATAGTGTGGCGATTCCTTAAGGACCTAGAAATAGAAATTCCATTTGACCCAGCAATGCCATTACTGGGCATATATCCAAAGGACTATAAATCGTTCTACTATAAGGTCACATGCACACGAATGTTCATTGCAGCACTGTTTACAATAGCAAAGACCTGGAACCAACCCAAATGCCCATCGATGATAGACTGGACAGGGAAAATGTGGCTCAGATCTACTAGTGGCAACCTCAGGGTTAGCAGAATTACTTCCAAAGCTGTGCTACTGTGCAAAAACCTTTGTTGAAAAGGCTGAATGCAAATGGAATGCTTTCTCATCACTATTGTTTCTTCACTGGAATGAAGAAATATGCTGGAGAATGTCAGCTCAAACACATCAAGCCTCACAGCCTAGGCACCAGGTTTCCTAACAGCCAGTGGAGTTTTACGCCTTTTCCCAGGACTTGCAGATACAAAGGACCCAGATATGGATTTACTTTTCCTTTTTCCTGCAAAGCACAACACTTTACAAAAAAGAAAAACACTTCAAAGGCAGTCCTTTTCTCGCATACATTTCATTCAAGACCCACATTCATCTTCCTTATCCAATTACAGGATCAAAGCAGGAGTGTTTGGCCTACTTTGGGGGTTTAAAGACATCCAGGGAAAAACTAAGAGCATTTTAAACTACCTTTTTAAATGCCACAGGTCTTCCTGTAGGAGAATTGGAGTTGGCTCCCCCTGCTCTCTCTTAAGTCATCTCTGGATACAAAAAGTCAGGTTAGAGAACTAACATACTCTCATCAATGGCACCATAAAAGTTTCCGTTACATCTCTGTAAAACCCAGCCTAATCTCAGTCAGTGCGTCAGGTGTACTTTTGCTCTCTACACTGCTGCTTTTGGAGCTCCTTCCAAAACCCACTGCTAAACTCTTGATTTTTCCTGATTAGTTTTTAAAATTTTGCGTTAAAATCTGCAAAAACAATCTGAAATGTCATTTCATTAGTCTCCCTGAAGCTAGTGGATCTAGCACATATGTTCATTTTAATGCTCAATATGGAATTCAAATTTCCTAAAATAGGACAGGTCTTATCCTTCATATTCACACTCTGGGATTTGAGGCTCTGGTTTTTTTTAAAATATAACATCTATGACGTCCTCAAAAATATTTAAGTGAACAGACTCCCTATTGGTGGATTGATTTTTCTCTATGGAAATAAATCTGTTGGCAGCGGCTAGAATTGGGGTATAAAAGATGACCTCGGGCAGCTGCTGCCATTTGTTTCAGTGGGAAAATGAGGGTTTTGTCTCTCCCTGGGGGTTAATATTGTGATGTTCTGAACACCATCAATGCTCTGTTTCTGAAGGGTTACACTGGAGAGGAGGAATGCTTTGTGGTTTATGACAAGATCACGGCAGAATATTTTGTGCACGCTGTGATTTGTATCACCCATTTGTGCACAGGCCATAAAAGTGCACTTTTTATCAAGAACATTTGTGAATATATAACAGCACTGAAGACATATGGCCACTAAATAATTCACAGTTATCTGTCTTCTCAGCAGATTCCTTATACACCTACCATGTTTTAATGCCTAGTTTGCTCAGAAACAATATTCTTTATGACCCTTCCAATATAAAAATGTTTACTGACTGGCAGCAATATATGATCCCATGGGAAGGGGCTATAAGGAAAGGGGAAAATGTCTGCATTTGCCATGTCTTCTCTTCTGTGTCTGTTTTCCCCTAACCCTTCCAACCAGCACTCGACATTACAGGTAAAGATAACTCTCCCCAAAGTGGGTGCAAAATCCTATCTGGGCTATGAGATGAAAGTCACTAACTAACCTCCACCCTCTTCTCTTTTCAGTTCTATATCCATTTACAGTCCCAAGGAGAATCCAAATGCATTTGACGCCGCAGCATTCTTCCAGTCTGTGGGGAATTTCCTGGGAATCTTCGCTGGCTCATTTGCAATGGGGTCTGCGTATGCCGTTGTCACAGCACTGATATCCTTTGTATGTGGAAAGCTGGGACTGTCAAGAACAGTCAGTATCTATGGAATGCTTCTGATGATGGACAACCTCCAAGCCCCTAAGTGGCTGGATAGTCTGGTCCAAGTTTAATACGGCACCACTTGGTTCTGAGTCATTCCTGGAAGCATAGGTTGGTACCAGCAGCAGAGGGGCCCAAGCTCTCTTCCTGTCCAAGGTCATTTCTAATGCTGTTGACACTATCTGATCCTAGGACATCAACTGCCTTAAATAAATACCACCTAGGAAAACTAGTGAACAGGAGGCATCAGGATTGGCCTTACTAGGGTCAAGAGGAAGAATTGAAGATCCAGAGTCAAGAACAAGACAATTGACAAAGGGTGATAAATTGGGTATGATCTGCCTCTTTTTCAGGCTTATTCACTCACTAGCTTATAGGGTAGCCCAAGCCAGAGGCCACTGTGAGTTTAAACAAGCATCCACAGCTACTTTATGTAAGGGAACCTGCAAGCAATGCTGAAATGATATGCATGCCATACCTGAACAATCATGCCATTTGATTCCTTTTTGTTGTTCTTAGAAATCTGGGATGATGGGTAGAGTTTCTAGAGAATCTGAGCCAAGGAAAGAAGCTGGTCTGGTGGGCTGTTTACTTAGAACATTCAGATAGGGCAACAGTAAGTCAGAGTAGAGGAGGAAGGCCAGAAGGCCAATGTCAAGTATAAGGGCCAGGTGGAGCCATAGAAGAGAGGCAGAACAGAAGATCTAGAACCAAAGACATCAGGGGAAGGAGAAGGAAGAAGTCTGCCAGAGGGGTGAAGGCCCCAGGCAAAGAGAGGGCAAAATATTAGGGGCCTTTCCTATGAGGTCTCACCCAGACATTCACTGCGCAGCTGCTGAAAAGCTTGATTCCACTGAGACTATCTAAGAGGGTCGGGAGATGTGTAAAACAAGATCCCTGCCCTTAGTGAGTGACAGGCTTGGAAAGATGAGCTCTCCATTGAGCGGGATAGAAAGTGAATGCCAGAGCCACATGGAAGTTATCACACTGTAAACACTCAAACTGGGACAAGGCCATTGTGTCTGCAATAGACTAATACCCTTGGCCAACCTTATGATTCTGGAAAATAATTGGAAAAGCAGTATATATAAGCAGAGTGGGCTTTGGGCACAGCCTGGAATATAGGATAAGGGCAAAGGCTGAGCAGTTGGTGATTCAGGAGGCGAAGACTAGCATTCACTGAGATATGGCAGTGGGACCGATGTGGCATCTGGAAGACATGCCTGGGAGGACATGGGCTTCAGCTGGTGAGAAATGGAGGATGAGGGGACACGGTGGGATGGACCCAGCTTGTGGAGTATCTTGAAGTGGTATTTCAAAGAGCATGAGCCTCTTTCTCTAGTCCACAATTAGCTGTCGAAGGTTTCTGCTCAGGAGAGTAACAGGCTGACAATCCTGTTTTTAAAATGTAGATGAGGAACTGGCACGAAGGATGAATCAGAGGACGGGGATTAGAACCAAGGGAAACTGTGATGACGAACTATGAGGGAAGCATGAGGAAGGGGACTGATGTTTAGAAGAAAAAAATCTCTGAGACTTAATGATTGCCTGGTTATTAGAGATAAGGAAAAGGAGACAAAGTCTACTCCAGAGTTTCATCCTGGGAACCTTGCGGAATGGCCTTTACCTGGACAGAAATAAAGACAGTCAGAAGAGGCAGTGCTGGTTTCCGACAAGAAAAAAACGACCTCCGCAGTACCTATGCTGTGGCAAGCCCCCTACGACGTGTTTTTCGTGTAGTGTCTCATCTAAGCTTCACAATGAACCTATCACCAGATGCTATTTTTATTGGATGTGAAGCTTAGAAAGGGTAAGCTGTTGCCCAAGGTCATGCAGCCAGCAAGTGAACCCAGAGAGAGAGAATTAAGAGGCCGACCACGCTCTGCTCACCACTCCCTGTTGCCTCTTAATTCTTAGTTGGAACTATGTGGAGGCCAGGTGTTGTTTAGAATAGAGTGATAGCAACAAAGATAGGAATATTTCATGAGCGTTTACCATGTGGCAGAGGCTTTCTCTGCTTCTCTTCATTTGAATCAACCCTGTAAAACAAGTTATTATCCTCCTCACCTTACACCTGAGGAAACTGAGGCTCAAGGAGGCTACGATATGTTAGCTCACTCTGGATCACGTGTCAGTAATAGTGAGTATGGTAATAACCATATCCTCTAAAATTTATTGAAAACTTTACTACGTGCTAGCCATTGCGCTAAGTGTTTTGCATGGGTTATCTCAGATAGCTTTTACAAGAGCTCTGGAAGGTAGATACTGTTCCTATCTCAATTTTCAGCTGAGGAAACTCAGACAATTAAACACCTTGGCTAAGGACAAACAACTAGGACATTTCGGGGCCAGGATTCAAACCCAGGCTTCTTGGTTCTGGAGGCTACACTAAGTGGAGAAACTGAAATCAGAATTCTCTGCCTGATGTGAGGGGAAGGTGTAACATGTGAACAGGCTGATAAAGGAAGAAAAAAATTTCTGGTGATTGGAAGTCTGGCATAAGATTGGATCAGATCTGGCAAAAAAGGGTGTAGAGATGAAAGAAATGGGGCTCAGTAAGTGGTGGCACTGATCATGGAGCATCTGGTGGTGTTTAACGGGCTCTATAAACACACGCTGGGAAGGAGGCAAGTGCTTAAAACGGCTGTCCTCTTCATCTTCCTAACCCCATACCTCCTTCATTCTGAGGCAGTCTCCTCAGGTTGTAGGCTCCTGGGCTCTGCAATTAGGAACTGACCCAGAGCTGAACTACTTTCTGAAGGAGACTGAAAGAAAACAAGCTCAATGGCTGATTGCTATTCTGTGACCAACTGAACATTCTCTTTAAAACAAACTAGAAGAGGGAATTCTCACTAGAAACAAAAACAAGATTCCCTCTAAGTAACAAAAGGGAATCTTGTAAAAGAAACTCAGGGTAGCCCATTCTTTACACCAGATAAAAAAAATTGCTTCCAGGTCCTTACTGATTCTATTTCCCAAAAAGATGTTTTACCAAAAAAACAAAAAATTAATTTAGACCACAGTAGTAGAAAAGTTGCCTATCACTTGTTACATGCCAGGCACTGTTCTGAGTACTTAACATAGACTAACTAGTTTATACACCTCTGAGGTAGGTTGCATTGTTATTCCTGTTTTCAGACAGGAAAACTGAGGCACCCAGTAATCAAGAGATGTGTCCAAGTGAATACTGTGAATTTGAATGAATCCAGGTAGAGTTGGCTTCCAGATGCTACACTCCCAACCAGGATATTATTCTGCCTTTGTGCCTTCTAAAACTTTACAGAACATGTTTAACGTACTTCATCACGTTTTACTCTCCTCGTGTAGGAAGAGGTGTTATTCTCATTGTCAATTCACGTATAATAGAAATGAGGCTCAGAGAGGTTAATATACTTCTGAGAAATCACACAGCCAGTGACTGGCAGAGTTAAGAATCAGAATAAAATGTTCCATTCCAGAGGTAACACTTTTGCTTCCCTGCCCCCCTGCTAAACATCTCTTAATGTGAAATTTTCTCTAGATTTTGTTCTAGCAATATAAAAATGCAACATGATCACATCTCTTTATTTGTCAGGGCATTTTGTGCCCAATATTGCAGGGTTACCCTTTCCCATTGATCACATACTCCTAATCATCTCCCCATGATCCATTCTCTGTCCAACTGGGATCATTATTCCTTTGTTCTATTTGTAATTTATAGACTATTAACCAAGTGTCATCCTTGTCAAAATGAACCATTGCCTGGTAAAGGGCATATTGTCTGACCCAGAAAGAATATACCTCCTTCTCCATCTGCTTATACCAAGAGGGCATGGGCAGCTCCCCTGTCACTGAGTATAACTTCTGATCCTACTTCCATTCCCAGCAGAGAAGACTACCAGGTAGTCTGCCCACAGCCTGCACTCCCCAGGGAGCGGCACTCCTTGGTGCTGACATACTTGCAGCATCTCATTTCCCCCATGCTCTCCTCGGCTTTGTTTTTGCATGCCTGCTACACCTCTCCTGAGGGGTACCTCCCAAGGGATGAGGCTAAGCCCACAGTTGGCTGAATTTAGAGTCTCAGTAAGATACCTGTTTAATCTGAACACAGGTCTGAATTTTTACAGGCATGGTCAGTCCCCGCGGAAGCACGAACTCATGCTAGCCTTCAAAGTAGGTCCCAGTGAGAATTACCGCCTTCCAGTCAGGTCTGAAGATCAGTTATTTTACTCTGCGGTGGAGCTATCATCACCAGATCAGTTTTTATTCTCAGCCAAGAAGGAGAGGTAGCTGTAAAAGCTGTTGTTTCCCTTAACTTGTCTTTCTCACTTGACCAAATTTACCAAGCTGTGCGACTTCCCAATGCTGGAGACCGGTCTGTTTTTCCTGCTTTCTTGGAGTGCCTTCCTGTCTGCCGAGGCTGCCGGCCTCACAGGTCAGTGTTTCATGCTGCATGGCCAACTGGATGTATGACTAAGTGTGTGGCTCCGGTGTGTGCCTCTCCCTGACCAAGCAGGAGGTGAAATGCAGTCTCTCTGAAATAGTGCATGTGAATGGTTTCGGTCAGAATCAGCCTCTCTTGGGTACCCCAGAGAGAAAAAAAATAATAGTAATTCGTCCATTTTGTACAAAATAGCTTAATGGAACATCTCCTAAATGCTTTCCTCTTTTCTCCTGGCTGGGCAGGAGGCATGCTGAAGAGACTGGCTTATAGAGTGATGGATGACTTTTCAAATGGAAGTCTTCATTCAGAGTGTGAAAGGATACCCACAACTGCTTTGTAGAGAAGAGCGGTGGCTTCCACTGGCTTTTAACAGCAGGTTCCAATGTGAGCTGGCTCTCTAGGGTACGCATATCTCCACACACATCAGTGTTTGAGAACTTCACATACGTTCCACAGCAGGCTGGAAAACAAATAGCAAATGTGGTGGCTCTACAGTTTAATGTCTCTCACCACAGAAAGTCTATAGAGAGAGTCCTCTGAGGTGGAACAGTTGATAGGTAGGGGACAGTTTGTTACACCCAAGGGCTGCAGATCCCAGGATCTGGACTGAGCAATTCGTGCCTCTCTGCAACCATGAGGGTTTGCACATGGGTTGCTGCAATTTGGGTGCTTTTCCATGCAGAAGAATCTCTGTGGCTCCCAGCAAAATGTTAACACGATTTCTCTCCTCGAGCCCCGTTCCCTACTTCTCCGGTGTTTCGATCCTGGACCTCTTTCTGTTCATTTTATCTGACATTCAAGTGGTGAGAATCCTTCCTAACTGATAGCAAAGTATACCTCCCTGGGTGTTTGCATTTTAATAGGTGATGCTTTAAGTCTAAATAATAAATAATAATAAAAGCTGACATATATTGAGGGTGTACCATGAGCCAGGTGCTGGCTAGCTTCCTTTCATGGATGATTTCATCAATCTGCAGAAAAATTCAAAAAAGACTATGCCCAGCTTACTCAGCCAACAGTAAGTGGTGGAGATGAGATTTAAAACTAGGATATTCAATTTTAGAGCCTGGGTTCTGGGGAACCAAGCATTTCTACCTTAAATGAAACTCCATCTGTGGAATATGAAGCAGACCTCTAAAGGTTGGTAGGAAGGCAGTAGTTAGGGCCCCAGGCACCTGTACGGTTCAGTTGCTCCTTGGCTAGTCTTGGTTCTCCTGTGAATGCTGTGGCAAATCTTTTTAGTAGTGATAACCTATTGCTTTAATCAGCTGGCCCAACTTACTGCAGAGCCACACAGGCCAAGCTATTCCCATGGGCTTCAAGGGTGTCTGTTGCCAATACAGAAAGCCATCCACCAGTTATGATACTATAAGCAAGGCTGCATTACTGTATTCCACCCTATCAGACCTTTGCATCTAAGTTATTTCAATACAAAGTCAGTTATTTTAGTGCATTGCCACTTTATTAAGGAGTTAGCTGGAAAGCTTATGCATTTCAGAAAAAAATAGTCATGTCCCTTCAATGAAATAATGTAGGCAAATCATTTACATCATAGTCATCCAAAAAACATTAGTTCGCTTTCTTCCCACGTTCTGTATTCTATTCAAGTTTAACTTATAGAATGATCTAAGTAATATTGACAATAAGAAGAAATATTTGACGTTCTACAAAGGTAAAAAGGTATCTTAACTCACCTAATATTTTTTAATTTACTATTGGATGTTATAATGAACAGACACACACACACAAACACACACACACACACACACACACACCCCATCACCTAAGAATTGGCAATTTGTGTGAAAATTGCCTATTTCCTTGTCCTTTTCAGCAAGATCTTGTTCTGTTAACTATATTAAAGGCTAACATCCACGGGAAACTGAATAAATTACTAGTTTACTTGATCCTTGCTCTTTCACACCCTTTCAACCTGATATCCTTACTGAGCTGCTGCACAGACCACCTTCTAAGGAGCCAGCATCATGGGATGGGTGAATATAGGTATGAACCTCAGTATCAGAAAGACCCAGGTGTCCATGGCTGCACCCAGCTACAGACTCACTCCAGAGGAGTACACTAGATTAAGGTGATGGGCCTAACAGACATTTGCTACAAACCAAACTCTAGGTGTGAGCATTTTCTATTGCCAAAGACCAAGCCTGCTTCGTCCAAATTACTTATGTGTTTGTTTATTATTTAATCCTTGCCTATTTCCAAATTGGATTTGTGACAACTCATAATATAAGCTATGTGCATCACAGGACCATTTAGTTGAGGGTAAACACTCAAGGGCTCTGGGATAGAATTTTTCTGCAAAATTAGGCAGCTGTTCATTACTGTGGTTTGGCAATAAATATAGCTCTGAGCTTTCTAGCAGTCAAAGCCAAAAGGGAAACATGATGAGTTATATAGGAACAATACAGCATTATTTTTTTTAAAGTCATGCTTATTTATTAAAATGGGCAAACTTTTTTTCCATACTAAAATTCTAGGAGAATTTATCACATGCATCTGTATGTAAGAGACTTTGAACACCAGAATGGACAAATATAATGTATTTAATAATTTTAGTGAAGATAAATGTTCATTCTTCATATGGTCATTTCTCATATCAGCTTTCAATAAAATCTGAGGGTGTGGCATCAAACTATAACTTTCTAATTATAGAAAGAAATATATAGAAATATAACTTTCTAATCCACGTAATAATAAAATCCTTTTAGTTCGAATGCATAGGCAAACTAATATGAAACAAAGCTAAAATCTGGAAAACTTTTAAAAAATGATTTCTGAATGAATAGACAATGAATGTAGTAAACTAAAATGAAATGAGCTATTAAATAGTTTATGAGTAACTACAGAGGTAACCAGCAATCGTGGGGCCTCGTATGGGTTCACTAACAACAGTTAATGTAGCTTCTAGAGATGGTATTAACATGCAGTGATTTCTCAGCAGAATTCCCCGAGCCCTGACCTTTCAAAGTGGGCCCTCAAGGACATTTGCCTAGTGAGCAGGGCTCTCAGCCACCTACCCGCGCTTCACCCCTTTTACTGGTTTCAGAAATTGGGATTTCACGTACAATTCTATTTGAAAAAAAGTCCTGCTACTTTAAACAAAGTACGTCTGTTTTTAAATATATTTCAATTTTTTCTTACACCCAAGGTAATATATTCGCTGTAGAAAATTTAGAAAATGCAGATTTACAGAAGGAAATAAATTTGCAATCACTTATATTCTTACTGCATATTAATAACAATCGCTAATATTCGGCTGTGTCTAGCTAACTATATATATATATAAAAATTATACACACACATATGCACTTAAAAATGTCTACCTAAATATACTCATGAATACATATAGGTATATGTTTTTTATTTTTAAGTAACTTGCTTTTTTCATTAAACAATTTATAGTGAAAAAAGTGCCATGAATGGAGCATTAAAAAATTTATAGTGAATTTTTTGAGACATTAAATACTACATCATAAGAATTTGCCATAATTTATTGTAACAGCCTTTTGATTGTTTATAAGGTTTAATATTATTACTATTACTGCAATGATAATCCTTATAGCTACAGATAAGAATTTTTATTTATATAACTGTCTACAAATAAAATGTCTGACTTAAAAGCTCTAAAATTTAAATTTTTGAAGAAATTTGTCCAAATTGTCTCTTAGAAAATTTGTATCCCTTTGTACTTCCACCAACAATGTGAAAGCAAGCCCATTCACTCACATCTTCACCAGCCCAAATCTTACTAATCACTACCAATTTGATAATCAAGTTCTATTTTCTTCTGGTTTACATTTATTATATTTTTATGAAGAAAAGCTTTTTAAATTACATGTCATTGGCTATTTGTATTTCTTCTTTGGTGAGCTACCAGTTTATGCCCTTTGTTACTTTTTTCTTGTTGAGATGCTTATCTTTGTCACATTGCAGTTTAGCTACTCTATCTATTGAGAAAATTGGCTAGGACCAATGACTCATTGACTCATTTCTATAATCCCAGCACTTCGGGCAGCCAAGCAGGGAGGATTGCTTGAGCCCAGGAGTTCCAGACCACATTGGACAACATAGTGATAGTGATACCCTGTTTATACAAAAAAAAGAGAGAGAGAGAGAGAGAGGGAGAGAGAGAGAGAGAAATTATCTGAGCATGGTGGCATACACTGTAGTCCTAGCTACCAGGGAGGCTGAGGCAGGAGGATTGCTTGAGCTCAGGAGTTCAGGACTACAGTGAGCTGTCACATGACTGCATTCTAGCCTGGGCAACAAAGAGATACCCTGTCTCTAAAAAAACAATAAAAGAAAATTAGCCTTTTAACTGTCACATAGGTTATAAATTTTCTCCAGTTTATACTTTACCTTTTAGCTATGTTCTGTTTTGTTTGTTTGGGTAAAGGAAAAGTGTTGACCTGGGCATTTTTAAGTTTCATGTGGTTAATTTTATTGCCTTCTTAGAAAACCCAAGTAAATGATATGTCCACAAACTTAGCAGCCTAAAAAATAAAAGAAAAAAGAAAAAACATATAGAAAACCCAAGTGTTTCTTCATGATAATGTATAATTTCTTTTAAAAGTTGTCTGGTTTTGTTTTTGCATCAGAAACCAACTGGAATTTGTTTTGATATGAGATGTGGGGTATAGTATCAATTTGATTTTCCTCCCAGATGATAAGTCACTTGTTTTAATACCCACCAACTTTTACCTACTTAAAATGTCTGTGCACGTGTACACATATGCATGTGTATGTGTATCTATGTGTTCTGGGCTTTCCATTGTTCCACTCAATGTTTAGTCTTCACTGTATCAATTATTTTAGCTTCATGGTTTATTTTAATATCTCGTAGGTCAATCTTTCACTCCTCTTCCCCATGTTCAAAAGCTCCTTTGCTATACTCATGTATTTATTATTCCTGATGGACTTGAAAATAACAGGTTCCAAACAGAAAATAATTTTTGAAATATAATTGGGGTACA